TAAATAACATTGATAAATAAGGTCATTCTTTTGTCTTGAGCATCAAAAACAAATCATGACAATTCTCTAAATTTTGAAAAAAGATATTCATAAGCATATACAGAAATCGTTAAGAAAAACACATGACTTTAGACTACATCATGTTAACTTAATATATTGGAACATTACATACTAATGTGTATATTAAGCAAAAAAATAATTATAATATCATCAAAATTATATTATTTTCCTCAGGTACTAGAGGTTATAGAATATACCTTCTTAGGATAGAACGACATACTTCATCAGAATAGTGATACCTCATATTCCACTTAACTTCAAACTCACTCAAACAACAATAAATTACACAAGGAATTTTAAAATGCAAGAAGAAGAAGAGTAGAAGATTAGAAAAAATTGTTGTTGGAAACTGAGAGGACGTCTCTCTATTTGTAGTCAACAAAGGGTAGTATGAACAAATGTTATTTGTGTCTTATTTGAAAGATCATGACCTTTTCGAGAAGTCACAACACTTTGGAAAAGTCACAACTTATTGAAAAAGTCACAACTCTTTGGAAAAGTCACCACTCATTGGAAAAGTCGCAACTCTTTGGAAAAGTCACTACTTATTGAAAAAGTCACAACTCTTTGGAAAAGTCACAACTCATTGAAAAATCACAACCCTTTGAAAAAAGTCACAACTTATTGGAAAATTCACAACACATCCATAAAGTCACCAACCTAAGTTTTGGATACATAGTAATTTAACATTCAAGTTAGGAGTTCATGCTTCTCTTATTCACGCAAACCTATGAAGTTGGTCAATGAATAATTTTATTAGTTAAATGCAATTATGTATATATATTTATTTCAATTTGATTAGGTTCAATCATGTAATTAGTCTTATCTCACTAATATTACCTTATAGACAATATTTGTTTTGTATTTTTCTTGTCATCTAACCAGATTTGTTTTGCATGTGTATTCTACATTAAATTGTTTAGATGTCATATGAACATGTGAAGAGAACAACTACATTTTATATATTCACATATTTTCACATTTGTTGTGAGTTTTTTTTAACAAAAAAAGAACTCGAAACATTTTAAAATAATATATTTTCAAGTTAGAAGATCTCCTTAACTTGATAATACATTTGTGACATATATAATACTTTAATTTAAATAAAAATACCCACATAAACATAAATATATATTTGCATTAATGAAAATATTTATCTCATAAAATTAGCTATTAAATTAATAATAAAAATTAAATGAATACAAACTTCAATTGGCGTTATTACAAGTCATATGAACTTTTCTTCGTCTAAAATACTGAAATATTAAGAAATAGTAAATAAGTAAAACAAAAGGGCAATGTTTATATAGTAATAACTATTTTGAAGCAAACTTCCTAGGAGTCTAAATCACATAAGTAACATTGATAAATAAAGTCATTTTTTGTATTGAGCATCAAAAATAAATCGTGACAATTCTCTAAATTTTGGAAAAGGATATTCAAAAGCATATATCTACAACACAAGAGAAATTGTTAACAAAAATAAATGACTTTAGACTACATAATGTTAATTTCATATATTATAACACTACATATTAATATGTATATTAAGCAAAATAATAATTATTATATCATCAAAATTATATTATTTTCCTCAAGTACTCAAGATTATGGAATACACCCTCTTAGGATAGAACGACTTACTTCATCAGAATAGTGGTACCTCATATTCCGCTAAACTTCGAACTTATTGAAAAAGTCACAACACTTTGGAAAACTCACAACTTATTGAAAAAGTCACAACTCTTCGAAAAAGTCATAACTTTTTTGGAAAATTTGCAACTCTTTGGAAAAGTCACAACTAATTGAAAAAGTCACAACTCTTTGAAAAAGTCAGAACTCATCAAAATATCACAACCCTTTGAAAAAAGTCACAACTTATTGGAAAATTCACAACACATCGAAAAATTCACAACCTAAGTTAGAAATATTATAGTAATTTAACATTCAATTTAGGAGTTCATTCTTTTAAGGTAATATAGATAGACAGATATAGATATAGATAGATAATGAATAATCATTGACAGATGAGGAAAAACCTTTAAAATTTAGAGCCCCTACAAGCCTTGTATACCATTATCTGCAGGTTTGTTTTAAACCATAAAGAGCTTTCTTGAGCTAACAGACATGGTGGGGACTGGGTGGACACATTCCGGAAGGAAATTTCATGTAAACCTCTTCTTGGAGGTCTCCATGGAGAAAAGCATTACTTACATCAAATTGAGAAACAGGCCAATTCTTCTTGATTGCAATAGATATTAAGCATCTGATAGTCGTCATCTTAACAACTGGAGAAAAAGTTTCATTGTAGTCTATGCCTTCCATTTGAATATCACCTCTGACAAAAAATCTTGCTTTAAGTCTTTCCATACTTTCATCGACCTTTTGTTTAACCTTGTAGACCCACTTACAAGGTAAAGCTTTCCTTCCAGAAGGGAGAGGCACCACATCCCATGTTTGATTAATGATCAAAGCGTGTAATTTAGAGTCCATGGCAGCTTTCCGTCCAGGATGTTGTCAAGTTTGAGAATAATGAGTGTGCTCTGAAATTTGTGAAGTAGAATGCAATAAAACCTTATTTTGATTGGAAAGAGAAGGAAATGGATATGTAGGTGGTGAGGAAGGTACTGCTAGACAAGTAGTAGTAAGCTCAATGGAAAAATATTATTGCAAACAAAGTCATGTAAATGACTATGTAAAGTACCTTTGTTTTGTCTACTATATCTTCTAGGTGGAGTAGTAGTAGTTTGAGGATGAGAAGTGGAATTAGTGTCCATAGCAAGAGATAAAACTGGTGAGGGTTGGTCTAAAATTGTAGGAGAAGGAAAGAACATGGATTCATCTGTAATGTGATCGAATTAAATAGAAGAGATAGGTAGAAAAATGATAGATATACTGGTATTAGGAAAAGAGGCAAATGGAAAAATGTGTTCATGAAAATGAACATCCCTTGATATGCATACCTTCTTAGAATCCACAATAGGGACTATGTATCCCTTTTGTCCGGTAGGATAGACTAAGAAGATGCAAGCAGCTGCTCTAGGCTGAAATTTTCCTATATCATGTGATAATTTAGAAGCATAACACAAACATCCAAAGCTTCTTAAATGATGATATGATGGTTTCTGATGAAACTAGAGTTCATAAGGAGTGTTACCTTGCAGTAGTCTATATGAAACCTGTTAATCAAATATGTTGCAATGAGTATGCACTCTCCCCAATAAGGAATTAGAATTTTGGAATGGAACACTAAGGCTCTAGATATTTCCAGTAAGTGCCTATGTTTCCTTTCCATTTTGTTGGGGTGTGGCTATGCAAGAAGTCTGATGTAAATCCCCTGTGATTGTTAAAATGAAGAAGTTTATGTGTTTTTCCCTAGTTCCAAGGCATTGTCAGATCTTATTAATTTCACTTTAGCATTGAACTGTCATTCTATCATGCATAAGAAAGACTTGAGTACTGAAAAAGCATTTGATTTAGTTGTCAACAAATAAGTCCAAGTCCCTTTGCTAAAATCAACCACAATTGTCAGAAAGTATTTATAACCATTATAAGTAGGAACCTTAGAGGGACCCCAAATATCAATTTGAAGAAGATAAAAAAATTCTTTTACTCTTGATATGAATAATTGGTAAAGGTAGTCCGAATTGTCTTACTAAGGGTCACACAGTGCAAGTACATTCAAAATTTGAAGAAAATGAAATTGAACTAATATATTTCATTGCATTGAAAGGCAAATGCCCCATTCTTAATGCCATAACATTACATCAGATTGTGATTTAGCTAAAATAGAGACAGAAACTGACACTAGAACAGAATGATAATTAAATCTCTTAGGAAACGAAACTACTGAATCTGAAACACAATGAGAACTAGGTCTCTTAGGAAATGAAACTATATTTTTTGTAGCAGGAGGTTGAGTTCCTGTAGGCTCTAAAATGTATAGTCCATCTTTGACTTCACCAAAAAACTTGAGGGTTCTTCAAGAAAGGGCTTTGCAAAAGACAACAAGTATATGTGAATATGATGACACACTTGAAAGATAGACAAAGTTTATGAACTGAGAGTAAATTATATCTAAAACTTGGGATATGAAGGACATTTGTGAGTATGAAATCAGACAAAAGAAAAATAGATCATGCATAAGTAACCTTTACTCTGGATGAATCAGGTAACCTTATCATTAAAGGCTCAGGTAAAGGAATGAGAGATAAGAAAGAGTTAGGATCAAAGCACATATACTCATAGGACCCTGAATCAATAATCCAATATTTAGAATTTGAATTATCTACTGAATAACAAGAGGACAAATGTTCAAAAAATATAACAGCAGCCGAGTTGACATTGACTTCTGATCCAACAGGTTTTCCTTCTTAAATATGTTTTATGAGATGAGCAAGCTGAGTGAATTGATTTGGCGAGAGTTTTTGAGCAACATTATGATTCTCAGAGGCATCAAGAATAGATTGATTCCCATCTGGTTCTTCCATTGAAGTTGCAGAGTTGCTTCTCACAGTTCCTTGAAATTTCTTAGATTTGGTGAACTTAAAATTTGTTGGAAAACCTATTAGCCTGTAACAATTATCTATAGTGTGATTAGTCATCTTATAATAATTGCAGAATTGTTTGCTTTTATTTTCTTAATAAGATGTGCTTCCTTTGAAATAAGTATTTTCCAGCCTTTTTTTGATAGTTGAATCCAGATCAGATTCATTTTTTTGTTGAGTGTTGAGTTGATTTTCTGAGATAGTTGATGTTCCTACCATGAAGGAAGAACTATCTCTTGGAAACTGAGAAGATAGATGAGTTTGTCTCTGATTTTCATCATGCATCAAGAGAGAATATGCATGGTTCACAGTGGGTAATGGATTAAGCATAGAATATTTCTTTTGGCTGGTGCATATATATCATTCAGTCCCATGAGGAAATGAATGTGCCTCTCATCTCCTTTGAATTGAATCATATTCTTTTCTTCCTTCACTTGAACACTCACTGCAAAACATATTAGCCTTTATAGTGTCCAGCTCATTCCATAACCTTTTCATCTTGGTGAAGTAAACAGCAATATCAGTAGATCCTTGGACTAAATCTTCTAATTCTTTCTGCAGATGATACAATTTTGCCCCATTGGGCTGACCATATCTATGTTCAAGATCTGACCAAAGATCTTTGGTTGTTCTAGAGTAAAGAACACTAGAAGCAAGATCTTTAAAAAGAGAATTTAAAAGCCTAGATATTACCATATCATTGCAACGACTCCAGAGTTTAAAGGTCGGATCAGCCAAGTTTGGAGCAGGACAAGCTTCATCTATGAAGCCCAACTTATTTTTTGTTGAAAAAGAGATAAGAATAGACCTTCTCCATCCTGGATATCCTTTGCCATCAAAAGGAGTATTGACCAGGACCATTCCTGGTGCATCAAATTGATGAAGAAAGTAGGAATGAGAATTGTCAATGGTGATTCCATTGTCTTGTTGAACACTTGAATTAAGAGTGATTTCAGTGCTCTCGACATTGGAGTTTGACATCTTTGTAAGGAATGAAGAATGGAACAAATTAAAAAGATGTGAGCTAGTAGATGTTACTGCTCTGATACCATGTAGGAATATAGGAGAGAATGTATGGAAATTTTTCTATATTTCCTTATGATCAATGTAAAGATTTCTACCACTATTTATACATGTAATTGCTAAAAAGGAAATGTAAAACAAAATATATGTATTTATTCTAATTCTGGCTAATTTTATTCTTTACCATGTATACAATTATTCTTTGTTTACAAATATGTATCTTGTGAGCTGTGTATGTCTTGTGAGTTGTCAATTTTAATACCAGATCAATCCAAGTCAAACCAACCCAATAGATAGATGGCCCAACTTGTCTTTAAGGAGTGCATTCTCCTATTTGTTATCTTGGTCTACAATGTCAACAGGAGTGGTTCCCTTTTTGTTTGAAAGAAGCTTCTTATCTCCAACAGTTACATATATAATCGTAGTTTGTCTTGATTGTATTATAATATCATAACAACGAGTTAAGGATATACTAAATATAAAAATGAATATATAGAAGTGCGAAAGAAAGATGAAAAAAAAAAGCTTAAAACTAGAAATAAAAAAATGAGAAAATCTATGAAAAAATATAAGAATTTACAAGAATGCTATTTTAAATTTTGACAAGGTCCAAGTAATAACGTATAGATCTATGAGAAGAAAATCCAACATATTTACTTGTGAAGACGAATTAAAACAATAAATTCGGATCATGACCCTTAATGAGTAATTTTACAACGGTTAATATGTAGAAACTAATCACAAAAGAAAAATACCAAAAACAAATAAAAAATATCTATCGAACATTACCTTATACCCTTAACTATAAAGCTAGAAAATGTTGAAAGATGACTTCTCAAAGTACAAACCACAAAGGTTCAAAGAACATTCAATATTATTATCAAAGTTTTAATGTAAGTATCACTATCAATAATTTCAATATATTGTGTTCTTAATGAATAAATAAGCACTCCTATTCATAGGAGGAAAAGGAGACTCCTAGCACTAATAAACCCTACAATAATCATCTAAAACTTAGGCAAATAAGACCCTAGGTTAGTATTCAAGCTAGAAACTAAAGACCAAATATTTGTGGTTGGACTAAGGACTTTTGGGGCTCTTTTGATTGTGGCTTTTGAGCCCCATTTGGACTTGATTGGGCAGTTGGTTTTAGCTTCACATAAGGGTTGAAATTGACCTCTTTTTGGGTGCTACTTTGGACCTCTCTGAGCAGAAATTTGGGATCCCAATATTGCTCATTGTACATTAACTTGTACCATCAAATAGTTGTAGCAGCTGGAAAATTCATATCCCGTTGGCTTAGACTCTACATATCCAACAAGACACCTTTGAATCAACAATCGAAGCACATTGGGATTGTAATCCAACCCCTTGCTTTGATATCTTGTCATGGGCCTTCTTGAAGCTTTTAAAGTTTCATCCATATCCTTCAATGTAGTAGAACTTTCATGGATGATATCATATAACTCTTACTCTAAATGTATGAGATTGGGCTTCTATGTTACTGTAAATTACTATAAGTCATGATATACTTATTTTTTAAAATGTAATGATAAGACATCAAATTAAATTTACTGCTACTTAATTAGTAATAGCTTTTCCCATGGAAAAAAAAAACAAAATTCAATAGATAAACTTTTAAGAATAATTGTAACATGATTTTTTGAAAACATATAAATATGTGTTGAATTAACATGTCCCGATTGATATCAAATTGAAGTCGTAATCCAAATGGTCCTCTCGATGTCGTATATACCATCCCACACAGCTTTTAGCACTTATACAATGGAGTAGCACTTCCCCATCCACAAACCTATAATTAGGTATGACTTAGTAAATTCATGTATTTTGTACAATAAATAATTCACTCTGAAATCCCTAGACAACAAAGTCGTTTATTAGTTATCTATCTATCTATTTATATCTATATCTTCTATACTACCATAAAAGCATGTACTCCCAAACATGAATGTTGAATTACTATAATACCCTCAATTAAAAATACTCAATTTATTTTATTTATTTAATGTAATTATATTATATAAAAAGTAGATACTTTTTTTACACTAAAAGATTGTGACTTTTCCGATGAGTTGTTACTTTTCCAAAGGATTGTGACTTTTTCAAAGGGTCGTGACTTTACAAAAGAGTTGTGCCTTATATGATGAGTTGTAACTATTTCAAAGGGTTATGACTTTTTCGATGAGCAATAACTCTTCTGAAGGGCTGAGACTTTTCTGATAAGGCACAATAAGTACCTATTCATTGTACTATTTGTTAGCTATAAGTAGAGGGGTTTCCTCTCACTTTTAAACTACGATTATTTTAAGGTTTTCTAATCTTCTTCTTCTAAAAATATCCAACTATTATTTGCAACATTTAATTAAGTTCAAAATTCTATGAAATTGGAGGTACCACATAAGAAAGAGTTGGTGAACAAATTGTAACAAATCATTCATCAATTCACAATTATATATTCCTCTTACGATTTTCAACACATAAATACTTCAAAATTATTTATATCATTTTAGAAAATTAATAGCCTTTTAATTAACCTACATTTATTAAAAAAATACTAATTTCCTACGAATAGTCACAACAATTTCTACCTTAATATTTCTTCGGTCATAAATCACAACCATTCACTCCTAATAAATTTTTGGTGATCTCTTTAATGTGACAATTTGAGATCATTTAAAATCTCCGTACATGATTCATCCCGAATCCATTGGTATGTTTCGCCAAAGTTCTTAGCATTGGAATTTAGGTATTTTCTTTCTATTAAAGAAGAAAAGAAGAGAACAAAGAAATGTGCAATTATCTATGAACTTTGCTTCACACAGAAAACTTCTATATATAGTGTGTGGGAATTTTCATTTCTTTTTCTTGTTTTGTTTCTTTAATTAATTTTTTTTATTTTCATTCGAGATAGAAGTTAATAATTAGTGTTAGCATAATGAGTGAACAATGACGAATACACACATTATAGATTATTTTTCTAATAAAATAAATAGATCAAGCGATGGGATAGACAATATTAGTAAACAAATACGAAAAAAGACACATGACTGGGGTAAACTATTTCTTCTTTATTTTTCCTTTTTTTATTCTTTTAACCTCAAACGAAGGAGTTTCTTCCTAATTTTGGAACACTAAGGTTAATATAGCATGATCATATATTTTTGTCTTCCTTCTTAATTGGCGATGAATTTTTCAATATATTTTCTGGAGAAAGTAAAGTGTTGGTGGCAAGGGATTTCAATCAAATTGAACACTAGAGTAAATATATCATGAACAAATATTTTTGTGTTCCTTCTTCATTGGCTATGAATTGTTCAGTATATTTATTCTTTTTTTATATTTATATTGTGTTGACTTTTTTTAAGTATGATTTCCTATTATTTGTGTTCATTTTGATCTAAGAAAATGTTATGTCACAAGATACACTCCTTGCAAGCTATATAAGAATATATAAGAAAATAGTGGTTGATCACAAAATGATCTTAAATCAAGTTAAAGATTCTATAAATAAATAATTTAAATTATATTCATCAATTAATTTTTTTATTGGAAAAGTTTAATGTTTTGTATCATGATAGAACTTCTATAAGATACTAGATACTCTCATTAGACAACAACTGTATGAAATGTATGGTGCATACAAAAAGATAGGACTACAATTCCACAAAGATATGGTAGAAACTTAAAGAAATAAAATATTTTTCACTATAGGTGATGTAGTTCATATATTAATATTAAATTATGCAACTGAAATAGGTATATCTAAAAGAAAAATTGGTCAACATAAATATTTGACATACACTTAATTCTCTATTTAACCATCATTCGTTATAAGAACATTTCATTGTAACAACCTAATAATTTTTAACTAATTTTTGATGTTATATTTTTTTTCTCTATAATATTCTACTTATAACAATGTTGAAATTTTATGTAGAAGTACACTTTTGGTAAAATTACTTCTCTATAATAGTCTTACTCAAATACTAAATTGAGTAATAATATTTTAAAAAGATATATTACGTATAAAGATAAAATATTGTACTATTTATGGTAATAGTTAGTAGTGTGATGCACAATGAAGTATTATTATTTAAGAGAAAAATTGTACTTAAATGGTGTCCATCATTTATAGTCATAACCTCAAGAGGAAAGGCTATTGGTGACTTTTTCTATATTGATATTATTTTTCTATTTTGCTGGTTAAGTTTGTTTACAAAATTGAGTAAAGTAAAAAAAAAAATGTACTAAAGAAATGTCACTTTCTCGCCATATTTAAATTTTGAATGTATTTTGAAATGTTTCAATAAAATCTAGTGATTTTGATCTCAAAAAATAATTAAATTTATGACAACATATATTAATCATTCAAAGCACTTGACCACTGTTCTTTCAATTCATAATTATTTATTAAAAAACTTTAATTTAGTCATATTAATTATATTTTACAACATCATATATTATACAATATGATACACACGTGCAATACACGCGCCGTAAAACTAGTATACCTTAAAAGTGCTTGATTTCCGTATAGAAGTAGAATAAAGACAAAGCTTTCCTTTCCATACTGAAATATCAAACTTGTTGTACATCGATGAAACTAGAACAATTGACTGTTTGATAAATCGTACAAGAAAATTATTTATATTCAAGAGAATATTATACAAGTGAATAACTTTGAAGAGTAATAAAACATAATTTACACAGTCCGTGACTTATACTTTGAGAATGTAATTTATCTTTCAATATTTCTTACTTTTATTGTTCAGGTATAAGATAATTTTCTTATTTGATTTATTTTTGGTATTCTCTAAAAGGCGAGTAGTTTCTACATACTAATTTTTGTCTTAAATTACTCCTAAGCGGTCAATGTCCCACCCTATCGTTTTGATTAGTTTTCTCATGTAAAAGCATTAGATTTCTTCTCACAAAAC